AGCGCTATATAAATAAAGGTGACTTGACTTGACTTGACTTGAATGTTGGTGACCAAACAGTTGCTGGTAGCCATTGACTTCCACAGTATTTTTTTATATATATATACTATGAAAGTAAAACATCTTTTGTGTTCAGCGGAAGAAGTAAACTCATACAGGTTTGGAACAACATGAGGGTGAGTCAATAACAACAAAAGTTTCATTTTTGGGTGAACTATCTCTTTAAGTGTTTGTCGATGTTCTTGTCACCACATAATGTAAAATATTATGATTTGGCATGAAAATACAGAGCTGATATGCAGGATTTTCTCACCGGAAGAAATATCCAGAAGATCCAGGGCTCTCGTCTTGCAACATGCAAATGTTCTTTGAGATGCATGACCTTTCGAGCTCAAAGTCTATCTCTGACATGTGGGTGAAATATACCTTAGTCCAGAACAGTCTAAAATTAACAAAGAAAAGGTACAGTTAAAATCACACATTAACATAAGCTCACCACATTTCCTACTCCAGTGTCAAACATCATTAAAATCTCGGGGTGTAGCCTGCAGCATCCTAGTCCTGTATATAGCACACACAGCATTACTTTCATTTAACATGAATAGTTAGTATGTGACTTACATTGCGACCAATAGCGGTGTCTCTCTTGATAACTGATGACTAGTGATGATGACAATTATAATTCATAAAAACGGGTTATAAAATATACATTAAAAATGAACAAATGAAAGAGACAGCAATTACAAGGTGTTACAATGCAATTGTATAATTAGATTTTGTGTTATTAGTACATTTAAGAGAGTCAACGAACATAAGCCAAAAAACCCTTAAAACATGGTTTAGTTACACCTTTTACTTTTATGTAGCCTATATGAAATTTACCATATAAAATCATAAGATTCACCATAAATAATTTTTGATTCATAATATATGAAAACACCTTTGCATATTATATCTAAATTGTGTCAAGATTGTGTCCCTTCCCCTCCTCTCCCTTCCCTGCTAAACGTGATGGAATTTGAAAGTGAAAGTGAAAAGCGACTGCTGGCAATAGCTGATTGCCCACGCCACTGCTGCATTTATGTGTATATCTGCTAATTCGATTCATCAGAACAACTAAAGAAGAAACAGCATCTTCCCTGTTTCATTTCTGATTTAAAAAAAAATGAATATTAGGGTTGTGTGTTACATCTAATGTTGTTAAATGAATGTTTATTGCATTATTTCAGTTTCATGTGTGTTACCATGATGGTGTTTGGTGGTTTAGTTACACCTTTTACTTTTATGTAGCCTATATGAAATTTACCATATAAAATCATAAGATTCACCATAAATAATTTTTGATTCATAATATATGAAAACACCTTTGCATATTATATCTAAATTGTGTCAAGATTGTGTCCCTTCCCCTCCTCTCCCTTCCCTGCTAAACGTGATGGAATTTGAAAGTGAAAGTGAAAAGCGACTGCTGGCAATAGCTGATTGCCCACGCCACTGCTGCATTTATGTGTATATCTGCTAATTCGATTCATCAGAACAACTAAAGAAGAAACAGCATCTTCCCTGTTTCATTTCTGATTTTAAAAAAAATGAATATTAGGGTTGTGTGTTACATCTAATGTTGTTAAATTAATGTTTATTGCATTATTTCAGTTTCATGTGTGTTACCATGATGGTGTTTAGTGTTTGTGTGAATGACACTGTGCACCTTCTATATATGTTATTATTTAAAAGCTGCTTGTGATGGGCTTTGGTTCATCATGTGACTTTCTCATCACCTCCTGCATTTGGTGGTTATCAGTGTATTACAAAGGTACAAAACAGATTTCAGTACTTCAGTAGGTTGGTATATTAACATTATATCAGTTAATGAAATTACGGTATTTAACTGTAAATTAAAGTTAAAACCGTAAAACCTCAAATGTTGATACCGTATTTTTTACGGTAAAATTCCGGCAACCACAGCTGCCGGTTTTTTTCCGTACATTTTACAGAATTTTTTTTACAGTGTACATATAATATTAATAAACAGGCTATTACCACAAATCATCGAAGATAAGTGTAAAGAATCACAGACTAATAAAAGAAACCTCACGCAGAAGTTTAGTTTCTTCCTGGTGTTCAGTGCCACGATTAAACATAAATGTAAGAGCGCCGTGAAATAACATTCAGTAAACTAAACGAAGTAAACAACTGTTTACTGTTGACTAATATTTCATAAATAATTCATAACTCGAGGAAACGTGGCTGCATATATTTGTATCCAATTTGATTCTTACCTGAACTTGACGCCATTTTCACAGCAACACAAACATCGAAATCGAAAGAAAAGCACTGATCGAGAGAGCTGACCTGCGTCTGCAGAGAAAATAATAGATTTTATATTTATTGAAATTAAGCTTTCTGCGTCCATTCATTTTCCTTCTTTAAACCAGAAATGAAATACGGAAGACGTGGTTTCTTCTTTAACTGTTCTGATGAATAGAATAAGATACAAACTCTTCAAAATTATTTTTAATATATATAAATGCAGTAGCAGCTCCTGGCCATTAATTTAGATGAAGCAGATTCTGGGTCGTAGTTCTATGATTTCTCATTCATAATCGCTGAACACATGCAAAGGCACTGCTGGAAGAGGTTTGGTGTCTTTGCGTGATTCAGCCAGACGGTGGCGCTGTCGTATTCTGTGTCGTCTATATAGTCTGTGCAGAAGCATTCAACAAAGCTTTTCATTGTATTTTGTACATGATACTTGTACACATGACAATAAACATGACTTGAACTAGACGCTTGAAGAAGCTGGGTAAAAATATACATATAACACTTAATTTTCAATTTAAATTAATAGTTTGTACAAAATTAAATTTCTAAACTCTGTCAACAATTACCCCAGCAAACACAGAACGTTCCCCTAACGTTAGTTTTTGGTTCCCGTTTGGTTATTGTTTTTTGGGAACCAACTACTAACGTTAAGGGGAACTTTTTTTTTAGATTATAATTTTTTGTAACCATAAAATAACATTCCCAGAACGTTGCAGGGTGGTTATTTTTAAAATAACCTAAAAACAACTTATACAGAACATTCCCTATTCAGGTTATTTTTATAACCCCGTAAAACTATCTTTCCAATGAAAACGTTACAGATGTTTTTTTTGTGTGTAATGTCCTGCAGAGCTCTGAAATTCGTTTAATGCAGCATTTACTAAAATACAGAAATAATAACAGTAATCATATAGGAACAAAGATGTTAGGGAAACGTTCTAATAACGTTATACAAACCAAAAACTAACGTTCTATTTCCGCTAAGAAAACTTTCCTGACTAACCAAAAACAAACCATAACGGCCGCAGGGGAAGGCTTCCTGCTTCTTCCTCTGCCTAGGCTCTTCTATGGTGGTGAGCAGCTGGCTGAGCTTCTTCCTTCTTCAGCTTCTTGATAGCAGAGTCAGCAAAGAGATGATCTCGTCGCTGAAGGCGAAAAATTCTAATGAAATGGTGCTCTGGGCTGACTTATATAGAGGTTGGCTCCGCCTCTTCTGGCGAGCTAGAGCGCCATTGGTTTGTGCAGCCGCGTTCATTATCAGCGATGTATCGCATGCGATAATGAAAGCTGTTTGCGTAGCTTGTCAGTTATGAGGCGCCGGACGAGATGCGCATGATAAACGCATGCGATTTATCGTGCAGCCCTAATGAGAGAGACCATTTGAAAAGGAACCGTTTTTTATGCCACTTACAAAACAATTGCCATAGTAAATACTTTTTGTATTTTCAAAAGAAATACTTTTTGTACGCGAAAACAAAAATAGCGACTTTATTCAACAATTCGTCTCCTCTGTGTCCTTCTGCATCACCGTAGTGCCATTTTGGAGAATATCCACTGAACTCAAGCCACGTACGCTCTTCTGTGTCAGCCGCGACACAAGGATACGTTTTCTACGTGTATTTACGCTTTGATTTGAACAAAAACAGCGCAACCTTGTGTCGCGGCTGACACAGAAGAGCGTACGCTGCTTGAATAAAGTCGTTATTTTTGTTTTCTACGCGTACAAAAAGTATTCTCGTCACTTCATAAAATTCAGATTGAACCACTGATGGCAGATGTACTATTCTGACGATGCTTTTCATACTTTTCTGGACCTTGACAGTGTAATTTACTTGGCAGTCAATGTGACAAGTCACAAGCCTCCCGGTTTTCATCCAAAATATCTTAAATTGTGTTCCGAAGACGAACAAAGCTTTTACTGGTTTGGAACAACATGGCGGTAAGTGATTAATGACAAAATGTTCATTTTGGGGTGGCGTATCTCTTTAAGTTAACGTCAATTAGCCGGAGTAAACTGTAGGTGAACAGAGAAGCATAATAACTTTTGTATGTTCCACTGCTTCTTTATCGCAAGTTAGCTCAGACAGACATAACGTAACGTTAACAGCAAGCTAACGTGAAACACTGAGGAAAACATCTTTTGTTTTTTATTTTCAATTAAAGCAGTTAAAAACCAACACTGAATGTGTTTTGCGGAACATTGTTTTGGCTGTTCTTATATAGTGCATCTATAACACAGTATATTAAAATATATGGAAGTTAGCTTTAAACATATCTTAAATAACACTTCACATGCTTAAAGTTGTTCCAAAATAAGACATTTATTTTGGAACAACTTATTTTGGAACCATTCTTTTTTAATACAATTTAAAAATTCATATAAAATCTGGGCTCTCTCTCTCTCTTCTTCATTCTTTAATGTCTATTTTATATTGTTCTCCTCTTAAATTTCTCTTCTTTTTCTCTCTTTATCATGATTCTCTCTTTCTTCCTCCATCTTCATGTTCATTCTCTCAATCTCTTGTTTAAGATTCTGATTATATTCATCCCACATTGCCTGTTCTTTCTTTCTCCATTTCTCCTCCTCTTCTTCTCTTTGTCTTGCTTCTTGTTTCTGTTTCTCCCATTCCTCTCGTTCTCTCTTCAGCTCCTCTCGTATCTTTCTCTCTTGTTCCTCTATGTCTTTAATGTCTCTTTTATTTCGTTCTTCTCTCTCAATAAATTCTTCTTCTCTTCTCTTTCTCTCTATCTCATGATTCTGTCGTTCTTCCTCCATCTTCATCTTCATCCTCTTTTTCTCTTCTTCATGTTTGTTCACCAGTTCTTCTTTTTCTCTGTTCACTTGCTCCACTCTCTCCATCAGGATCTTCATCTGTTGTTCTTGTTTTTCTCTCTCCATCTCTCTGAACATCTTACATGAGTAGTAACTCCCTCCGTTTGCTTTCACTATGTTGTCTATCTTCTGCAGTAGATCAGTCACCTGTGTTTGGTCTCCAGTCTCTTTATTATTGAACACATGGAATCTGTTTCCACACGCTTCCATCAAGTTTATCAAAGGTGAACCAGGTTTTCCCAGATACTGTTCAATGGTTTTGTTCTGCAGAAAGTCTCCTCTGGTGAAGAGCACCATGGTGTACATTAATGAGTTTTCACCAAACGTCTCTTGGATGATCTTCACTGCTGTTGCTTCTTCTTGAGTGAATTGTCCCAGTGGAATCAGTAAGAGAAACACATGTGGTCCAGGCAGGATCATGGAGATGCAGTTACTCATTTCTCTCTGGATCTGTTCATTACGGAGTTCAGTATCAAACAGTCCTGGAGTGTCGATCACAGTAATGTGTCTACTGCTGATTTCAGCTTTCTCTCTACGACACTCTTTAGTAACAGATGTTTGAGAAATGTCTGAAATAAATGTGTTTCCTCCTAAGATGGTGTTTCCAGTTGAACTCTTCCCAACTCCAGTTTTTCCCAGCAGCACAATCCTCAGTTCATCGTCTCTTACTCTTGAATCTAAAGATAGATTTAAAACAAGAAACCATAAAGAAACATTAAAAACAACATATTGGATTTCAGGTGAAGACTGTCAATTATCCAGATCATCACAGAATATTGTGTGTAATTTATACTGAAGCATCATGAGGTATTATATCATTTCTTCTGAACTCTGCGTTTAATGTTATTGTTTTGTCTCCGAAATCTGTGTAGACTTCAGCAATCATGAAAAGTGATTAATCAATGCAGATTTTTCTGATCATTACCTTGTGACTGAAACCACGTCTCTAATGAATGGACTCGCTTCTTCATTTCTTCAAATTTCTGCAGTTTTTCCATCTGTGCCTCCATCAATGTCTCTGTGGAGAAACAAACACCACTATTTTCCTCAACTATCTGCTCCAGTTTCTCCATCAGCTCAGACACTTGTGTGTTCAGGCCGATGAACTGATGTCGTCCTCCAAATCTCTCAATGACAGACTGTGTTTCTTCATTGAGTTCTGCTGTCTGATGCTCTGGATTCTGTTTTATGAGGATCATGATGTGTTTGTTGACTCTTGAGCTGAAGATCCTCTGGATCTCCTCTATTTCTGCTCTGTCTTCATTATTGAGTGGAGCATCAGGAATGATGAGGATGAAAGCATGAACTCCAGGATGACAGAGAGACACACAGCGGTGAGTCTGACGCATCATGTCCTCCTCTGAGAGCTGAGTGTTGAACAGAGCTGGAAGCTCCACCAGACTGATCAGACGTCCATCAAGCTCCACGTCTCTCCTCACACACTCTGAGCTGAGCTCTGATCTTCTTTCGCTCTGCTTCAGGATCAGCTTTGATATGAAGGATTTTAATCCTCTGTTACTCCCACACACAACCAGATTCAGCTTCACACCCTCTGGATCTGTGTCAAAGGAATAAACTAGTTTAACAATGTGATTTAAACTTAAGTTAGATTAATGCTGCATTCACATCATGTCAGAATTACTGTAATCACGACTACTGATTACTGTAATTGACTAGTTTCCCACTAGTAAACAACCTTTCATGTCCTGAACACACTCATGCGGAAACACCAAAGATAAAACTCTCACCCATAGGCGGAGGGTGAGCCAACTCCAGGGTTGTCTTGTATTTATCTAGTTGGATTTTTGTTAGTAAATTTTGCCGCATGTAGATCCTCGCCTCATCTCGTCCTTGTCCCAGGTATAAATTTAATGTCACAATCAACACTTTTCAACTCATTCATTTACTATTAACTTTATTCAAGAGTTGAAATGATTTTATTAGCTTTCTTGTGCATTAGCTTGGGGCTAGGGGTGTGTATTTTTTCAAAAATGCTTTAGAAAACTGAGTCGGGCCGAGTACCAAAACAAACTTGTAGCCAATCAGCAGTAAGGGGCGTGTCTACTCATGATGCGTTTAATGTTATTGTTTTGTCTCCGAAATCTGTGTAGACTTCAGCAATCATGAAAAGTGATTAATCAATGCAGATTTTTCTGATCATTACCTTGTGACTGAAACCACGTCTGTAATGAATCGACTCTCTTCTTCATTTCTTCAAATTTCTGCAGTTTTTCCATCTGTGCCTCCATCAATGTCTCTGTGGAGAAACAAACACCACTATTTTCCTCAACTATCTGCTCCAGTTTCTCCATCAGCTCAGACACTTGTGTGTTCAGGCCGATGAACTGATGTCGTCCTCCAAATCTCTCAATGACAGACTGTGTTTCTTCATTGAGTTCTGCTGTCTGATGCTCTGGATTCTGTTTTATGAGGATCATGATGTGTTTGTTGACTCTTGAGCTGAAGATCCTCTGGATCTCCTCTATTTCTGCTCTGTCTTCATTATTGAGTGGAGCATCAGGAATGATGAGGATGAAAGCATGAACTCCAGGATGACAGAGAGACACACAGCGGTGAGTCTGACGCATCACGTCCTCCTCTGAGAGCTCAGTGAGAGCTGGAAGCTCTATTACACTGATCTGATGTCCATGAATCATTTCCTCTCTCTTTTGACAAACTTTACTAATCTCTTTCTGAGTTTTACTCGTTACCCCTCTAAGCATTCTAGACACTGAGCTCTTGAGTGTTGGATTATTTCCACACAGCACAATGTTCAGCTTTGGTTTCCCAGTAATCGTCACTGAAAACATTAATTAGAAACAATATATTTAGTTCAACTTTGCTACCAAATGTATACTTCATTAAACAACAACAAAACTATTATATTGTGAAATATACAGGTGCATCTCAATAAATTAGAATGTCGTGGAAAAGTTCATTTATTTCAGTAATTCAACTCAAATTGTGAAACTCGTGTATTAAATAAATTCAATGCACACATGTCAAAGAAACCTGGGCTTCCATACCACCTCAGCAGTGCCACAAACTGATCACCTCCATGCCACGCCGAATTGAGGCAGTAATTAAAGCAAAAGGAGCCCCTACCAAGTATTGAGTGCATGTACAGTAAATTAACATACTTTCCAGAAGGCCAACAATTCACTAAAAATGTTTTTTTACTGGTCTTATGAAGTATTCTAGTTTGTTGAGATAGTGAATTGGTGGGTTTTTGTTAAATGTGAGCCAAAATCATCACAATTAAAAGAACCAAAGACTTAAACTACTTCAGTCTGTGTGCATTGAATTTATTTAATACACGAGTTTCACAATTTGAGTTGAATTACTGAAATAAATGAACTTTTCAATGACATTCTAATTTATTGAGATGCACCTGTAATTAGATTGCAGTACATTCTTTATCAACTGAAGGTTTAGGTGAATCCACTCTCTATGTATGGATTTATGTCACACACATACAGACTGTCTGCACTCACAACAACAGCATTCAGAGGAATATTTCACCCAAAATGGACAATTATATGATCATATACACGCTTCAAAAGTGGAATGATGATTTTACCATCAAGCTTTAAAATAAAAAAACACACACACACACAATTGAACCCTAAAAGCATTCTGTTAATGTCTTAATACTCTATTCAAAAATATCAAAATTTTTGTTAGAAGCTTTTCAACCAAAACAAAACAGATAAGTAAAAAGAAATTCTAGTTCAAGTCACGCAGTAGTGCTCCTCCTTTTTCTCTCTGTCTTTACATCACTGTAACTATTAAAGGACACAATAGTCTGTCATGATCATATACTTAGAGGTATTACCCTGAAAAAAATGTCTGTAACAAACCTCCTCCATCACGTCCTGTTTTTGTGCTCTCTGTGTTATCTGAATCCTTCTTCTGTTTCTCATCGTCTCCTCTGTCTGAAGCTCCAGAGCTGCTCAGATCTTCATCCACTGATGTTGCATTACCTCCATCTTCATACATGTTACAGATGAGAAATTCTTCATGTTCTTTCTTGCGTATCTCCTCTATCCTTCTGATCAACTCAGAGCGCCATCCTGGGTTTCTTGTATCAAACTGTAGATGTGCTCCTCCACACTCCTTTATTAAATTATAAACTGTATTATTCCATATCTTAGAAGCCAATTTGGATGTGCGTGTCTCTTCATCAGTTGTCACCACTATAGCGTGTTTAATGGCCTGCTCACTGAATAGGTTCAGCACATATTTCACTCTGTGTCTGTCCTCTTCACTGAAGTCATTATACTGCAGTACGAGTACGATCACATGAGGTCCTGGAGCAGACAGAGACACACAGTCTCTCACTGCCTCTATTATCTGATGCTGTGGGAAATTTGGATGGAGCAGGTAAGTTTTGATGACTTTGATGTGTGTCTTCTCCACCTTTCCACTGATTGCCACACTGAGATGATGTGAATAAGATGGAGCTTCATTCTGAAACACTTCTGTACCCAGTATAATGTTTCCCACACTGTTGTTTTCTGATCCATTCTTTCCCAGCAGAACAATCCTCAGATCACTCACTGAAAAAGACACATAAACACAAACAACGTAATAAAAAAAGCACAATCGTCACTTAATAATTTCATATTAAAAATTCTACAGAATTACCAGATTTAACACAAGACACTAGTAGTAATGTTACAATATCAAGTAACCCTTTCAGAAGCTTCAGAACATCTATGAAAGATGTACATTTGTTTAATCCTGAAGAGTTATCATCAATAATTATATTGACGTTCTATTGGGATGATCATTACTTGGACTTTTACACATTTTGTTCACTAAAAATAAAAGAATGGCAGCTGCATAGAGTCCGGTGAGCATCAGGAGCCGCTAACACTTGTTCAGTACAGTAACCAGTACAGTAGGCTCTCCGTGGGCCTCAATCATTTCTCTGGTAACCACTTTGAAATTCTGCTTAGGGCCCCAAAAATGCTAGTCCTCAGTAAACAGACTGATCTCACAGGGAATCACCGACAGGAGGAGGAATTATGGCTTTGAGAAAACTGCCCCCTGAATCTTCACTTCGAAGGATTTTGTCAAGCTTTGGAAATATTCAGATGTCTTCTTGTGTTTGAATGACACAGAAACAGCTTCAACTGCAATACGCAGAAATTATTTTTTACTCTATGCTCAAGGCTACTGTATCAAAAGTGCTGTCTGACGTCTCTGATGTCACAAACGAGATCTCAGCTGTGATGGACTGGAATATTTTTCAATCAGTGACAACTTACACCAATCTGTTCCTCAAACAAAGTTACTGTATGGGTTCAGAAGACTTGAAATTCAGGCCCAGATCTGTCTAGACGGGTTTTATGGTACTTTTATGATGGCTTTTGTCATTTTTGGAGAATGAGGGTGAAAGTCAGTGTCTACCTTCATTTTAGAAAAAGAGCATCTTTCATTAAAAACAAATAAATACAGTGCACTCTAAAATGAAAAGTAGTGTACTTCATGGCTGAAGTAGTTCCAGGTCTGTTTACTGTTATAGTTCTATACGACTATAATTTCAATATGTGGCTTCAGAATTATACTCATTGTGAAACGTGCTTTACAGATAAATCTGAATTTCATGTTTGATTGTAATGATTTTTTTTTTTTTACATTTTAATTAAATGTTATTTTAAAGAGGGTAGAAAAAAAACTTAATTTGACAAATATTTCCACATATAATATTCTTAAATTTGCTCTGGCTTTACTGTGGCAATATAAAAGCCAATTACTTAATTAAAAGGAAAAAGATAATTTATATTTATACTTATAAGACGATGCCGAATATTTCTCACACAGCATAAGTTGGTCTTTCTATACATGTAAAATATAGCTGATTTTATCATTTGGGAAGGTAATTATTTCTATAGCAAGGGTATTATTATATTTGGGGTCTTTCTAATCAAACAGTTTGAAAAACCACTGATCTACATCGCATTCTGTCTCTCTCACAACAAGACATTTAAACACAAGTAACTTTATAAATAAAACACATACACGAGTAATTCACATTGTTTTTGTTTTTTTTACATAAAAAATTACATTTTGACATATTGGGACTAATCATTATTTTTATTTTTGGGTGAACTATATTTTAATTGGTAAAACACAATATTACAACACATAAATGTTTGACACATCTTAGTATTACTGCCAGTGATTTAAAAGGGTGGTTGACTGTTTTTTTTTCTAGGCTTGATTGTGTTTATGGGGTGCAGTCTAACATGTGTTAATGCTTTGTTTGTTAAAATACGCATTATTTTTCACATAATTTACCTTTATTCTACACCGCTCTGTCCCTTCTCCTCTGAACGCGCTGATCATTTCCTGTTTTTATGAAGCCCCTCCCTCAGAAATACACGATGGGCTCTGATTGGTTAGCTGGCCCAGTGTGTTGTGATTGGCTAAACCGCCTCTAGTGCTCGTCTAAACATCCCGCCCCTCTCCTCAGCGGCATGTGCTCTGGTTGTATTGTAAACAATGGCGTTGTCTATTGTGCTTATCAGTTTGAGCCCGATTGAGAAGCGGAGGATCAGATTATTATTGAAGAGGATCGTGCAGAACCTGTGCAAGCACGGCTTTTAATGGTAGGCCTATGTTTTTTGTTTGTTGTTGTCTCGTACTTTTAGATACGCTGTTATTTGTAAATGCTACTACTTATGTTAGCTTTTAATATACGGTTTTATTCGGATTAAAGCTTTAATACAGTTCGGCAACCGCACGCGCGTCCATGTATAACGCTTCTCATAGCTATAGTATGTGAAAATAAGTGTATTCACTGAGCTGATGATCTGAATGAGAGAGAGATGCAGAGCAGAGCGTGTGCAGAGCAGGGCGACGCGAAGAACAGGATTGAGCACCGCTGCTTTAGAACATTGATTTTGAAACTTGTGAATCCATTAGAATCGATAGAAGACAGATAACTAACGTTAAAAAAGTGAAATAGCAATCAACCACCCCTTTAATTTACTTACTGTCAGGACGAACAAGATCTGGACTATGTCTACGTCTACCTGCTGCTGCTAGAGAAGAAAAATCACACACACAGAGAGAGAGAGAGAACAGATAGTTTATCCATTATAAATCGTTTTAAAAAGCATGTGCACTGAAAACCTGTGACTTCACAAAGTTATTGATACACACAGATCAAAATAAGGAAATTATGATTTTTCTTATTTTCAGAACATCTACAGTGTGTCAAAATTACACTTCAGCTCACAGGTACTGCAATGATCTACGCAGCCTACATATAATATTAATAAACAGGCTTTTGCCACAAATCAACAAAGATAAGTGTAAAGAATCACAGAATAATGAAAGACACCTCTTCCTGGTGTTCAGTGCCACGATTAAACAAATGTAAGCAGTGAAATAGCATTCAATAAACTAAATTAAGTTAACTGTGTACAGTTGGCTAATATTTCATAAGCAATTCATAAACTGAGGAAACGTGGCTGCATTTGTATCCAATTTGTTTCTTACCTGACGCCATTTTCACAGCAACACAAATCGAAATCGAAAGAAAAGCACTGATAAAGAGCTGACCTGCGCCCCGCCTACAGAGACTGGGAAAATAACATATTATGCTCCTTGTGAAACGTGCTTTACAGATAAATCTGAATTTCATGTTTGATTGTAATGATTTTTTTTGAATGAAACTTTCTGCGTCCGTTAATTTTCCTTCTTTAAACCAGAAATGAAATACGGAAGATGCGGTCTCTTCTTTAACTGTTCTGATGAAAGCAGATAAACTCTTAAAAATTGTTTTTAATTTAGATGAAGCAGATTCTGGGTCGTAGTTCTATCTCTATGATTTCTCATTCATAATCGCTGAACTCATGCAGACGCGCTGCTGGAAGAGGTTTGGTGTCTTTGCGTGATTCAGCCAGACGGTGGCGCTGTAATGTTGAATTAAAAAGTACAAACACACAGAACGGTGTTTTATTGTATTCTGTGTCGTCTGTGCAGAAGCATTCAAGAAAGCTTTTCATTGCATTTTGTATATTATATTTGTGCACATTACTTGAACTAGACGCTTGAAGAAGCTGGGTAAAAATATACATAACATTTAATTTTCTATTTAAATTAATAGTTTGTACAAAATTGCATTTCTAAACTCTGTCAACAATTACCCCAGCAAACACAGAACGTTCCCCTAACGTTAGTTTTTGGTTACGTTAAGGGGGGAAAAAAATGTTTTAGGTTATAATTTTTTGTAACCATAAAATAACATTCCCGGAACGTTGCAGGGTGGTTATTTTTAAAATAACCTAAAAACAACTTATACAGAACATTCCCTATTCAGGTTATAACCCTGTAAAACTATCTTTCCAATGAAAACGTTACAGATGTTTTTTTGTGTGTGTGTAATGTCCTGCAGAGCTCTGAAATTCGTTTAATGCAGCATTTACTAAAATACAGAAATAATAACAGTAATCATATAGGAACAAAGATGTTAGGGAAACGTTCTAATAACGTTATACAAACCAAAAACTAACGTTCTATTTCCACTAAGAAAACTTTCCTGACTAACCAAAAACTAACCATAACAAAATAACGTTCTGGGAACCAAAATTAGTTCCAAACTCTTGAAGACTAGCGTTCATCTTTGAAACAAATACAGGTATTTTAATTAAACCTGAGAGATTTGTGTTCCTCAGTTGAACCCTTAAACAGATCATGTTAAAATATATATGGAGGTTGATTACAGTTATTATTCTGTATACAAAGAACACGTTTCATATTTTATTTTGTGTAAAATTACAGTAACATTACAAATGCACACTACAATACTTCATATCTACAATAATAGAGTAGATAGCGAGTTCTTGCAGGACACATTATTTGCCTGACATACGTCACAGGGCTGAAGAAACACTGCATTTTACAGGTTTTGTTCAAACCTCAGGTTTTAATGTCATTAATAAAACATGCATAAGTGCACTTAAATAAAGCGTTTGCTCTAGTCTCAGTTATTCTGTGATTACAGGGAATAATCAGGCTTTTGAAATGCAGATGAACACTATTAATACTGTTAATATCTGATGCATCGAGGGTTTAAAGCTCTTAGGACAATGCTGAATGAACAGCACTCATTCATTCATCTTCCTCTGGTTTGGCACCCTGATCTCGGGCTGGTCTGGGGTCAGTTGAGCTGCTGCTCAGAGTCGATGTCTGTGTAGATATTACTGACGATATGAGTCAGATCCAGACTCTGGGTCAACATCACCGACAGAACCTCGTCCGCCTGGATGCCCTCGATGAACTCATCCAGAGACAGCTCGCCTGAACACACACACAGATGCATATGTAAATCACATTGCTTCATTTGCATATTTAAATAGCACACATAGACAGATTACCGTCTCCGTTAACGTCGATCTTGTTAAACACCATGTCGGTCAATTCCTCAGTGGAAAACTCCTGCTCTACTCCGTTAATGGCTTCAATGGCCTGGAGCCGAAAAACATCAACAACAAAAGACAAAAGTGAGTTCTGTGGAATAAGACTCACCAGCAGGTGGCGCCGAAGAAAAACAAAGGTGTCACTGATTTAAAGGGACAGTTCACCCAAAAATTAAACTCCTGTAATAATTTCTCACCCTCAAGTTGTTCTAAACCTGTAAGAAGATATTTTGAAGTATGTTGGGAACCAAACTGTTGACGGTAGCCATTGACTTCCATAGTATGGCGAAAAATACTATAGAAGCTAATGCTACCGTCAACTGTTTGATTCCCAACATTCTTCAAAATATCTTCTTACAGGTTTAGAACAACTTGAGGGTGAGAAATGATGACGGTTTCATTTTTGGGTGAGCTATGCAGTTTAATGTGGATTCAGAGACACCAGCAGGTGGCGCTCAAGAGAAACACAGACGCCACTGAATTCATCAGGATACCTTGAAGATGAGCAGCAGCTCCTCGCGGTCGATGCAGCCGCTGCTATCCACGTCGAACAGCTTGAAGTACCAGCGCAGTTTCTGCTGAACGCCACCCTTCAGAACCAAACTCAGAGCAGCCACATACTCCATGAAATCAATGCAGCCGTCCTGACGACATAATAAAACATATCAATTTATAATACTGGAAACAGTTATGATCCGTTTCCAGTGTCCTCTTCAAACTAAATTCAAGTAAAGTGTCTTTTAAAGCTTAAAGGGGTCATATGATGCGATTCCAATTGTTCCTTTCTCTTTGGAGTGTTACAAGCTCTTGGTGCATAAAGAAGATCTGTAAAGTTGCAAAGACTAAAGTCTCAAATCCAAAGAGATATTCTTTATAAAAGTTAAGAGTCAGCCACACCTACCTAAAACGGCTCGTTCTAACACGCCCCCACATATCTACATCACTATGTGGGAAGATTTGCATAACGCCGTCCAAATATTCACGCAAAGAAAGAAGGTGTAACTTTTATTCTCGCTGTAGTATTGTTGTTGCCGCCGCCATGTCGTGAAGACGCTGTGTGTTTCGTTGTGAAAGCGAAACTACTTTGTTTGGTCTTCCAAAAGAGGACGATATCCGCTTCGTCATGCCTGGAGCTGATCCGTGCTGGTCGCTGAGGGAATACATCAACTTAGTGCTGTGGATCGCCGGATCGGCTTTCACCGTGGACGAAGCAGAGTCCAGCTCGGGGTCGTCACATGTGCTTGCCGCAAACCCTCCGGACGCTCCTTTGTCGAATCCGCCGGCCTCTGCTCACTCAGCACGCCGTGTGTGATGCTGTGCGTTTCGTTGTGAAAGCAACGAAACACACAGCAACTACTTTGTTTGGTCTTCCAAAAGAGGACACGACTACAAATCAGTGGTTAAGTTGTATTTACAACACTGTTCCTCAACCCAAATATTCAGATGTGTGCAACACATTTTGATTTGGGTGAACTGTCCCTTTAAACGAGGATGATATTAATATATACAAGGATGATATTAACATGTAGTAGAACAGTAAATAATAAATGATAACAGATTGTCTTACGTCGTTAATGTCGAACGTCTTGAACATGGTCTTGACGTACTCGTTGGATGTTTCGGACAGATTCTTCAGGCCGAAGAACTTCTTGAACTCGTAGAAGGTGAGCTGACCGGAGGGACACTCGGTCATGAACTTGCGGTACCACTGATGGGAATGACAGGCGCTCAGCTCCTTCACTGACATGCCGGGCGAGTTTCCCATGATGCCGCTGCAGTGCCGGAGCTTCAGGAGAGACCGCTCACCGCTTCCCCGCGCAAACACACACTGAAACACGGGCTCGGCTCAGCGTCCAGGACAGGGCGAGGGTGAGGGTGTCCCGTCCAATTACCACTGACGTCACTCCCTGCTGTTCTTTTCCGCTCTGGAAAATGCAGCGAATTACCTCCTGATTACAGAGAATCCTAAATACAGTGCGTCAGCACGCCCCACTGACCTGAGATCACGACCTCTGTCTGTCTGTCAAACAGGACAGCAGCCTGACGTCAGCGCAGGGTTAACATTCAGTTCTGATGATCTAGAGAGAAAAAAAGTTTATTTTTAGTAACCATAAACTAACATTCTCCTATCTATCTATAATTTTATCTATCTATGTGTCTGTCTATCTATCTATCTATCTATCTGTCCGTCTGTCCGTCCGTCCGTCCGATCTATCTATCTGTCCGTCCGTCCGTCCGTCCGAACTATCTATCTATCTATCTATCTGTCTGTCTATCTGTCTGTCTGTCTGTCTGTCTATCTGTCTGTCCGTCCGTCCGTCCGTCGGTCTGTCTGTCTGTCTGTCTATCTATCTATCTGTCTGTCTGTCTATATATCTATCTGTCTATCTATCT